TACAGTCATTGAGATGACAGATGATCACTATACAGAATAGAAGTAGGGTAAACTGTATGTAAGTAGGGTAATAAAATATTAATAACAATATTCACTTTACTCCAAACAACAATAATAATTGTACAAAATAGAATTTTTGGCATTTTTATACACATTGCAAGAATTAAGCTCCTTTTATAAGTGTGGAGATACATGAAATTGGAAGAAAGATGATTAGACCACAAAAACTGAAAGTTGGCGGAAACATTTTTTGTATACCTTTACGTTCCAGTGGAGCATAGGGCTTCAAGCTAAAGCTTTGAAGATTCGGTAGCAGTGGTACTTATTTTTTGCTAGTTGGAATTTCTAGCCTCATGCCCAACCTTCCATCTTTACCAGTCTTACTACTAGCTTAGTAAGGTTTACGAGTGTGTCAGCCGGGGGATCGAACCCCGATCCACCTGTATAGTTAGCGAACATTCTACCTCTGTGCCACCGACGCGAAAAGATTATGAATTATAAGTAGATGATATCATACACAATACATGTAGTAATAATCTTGGCTTGAACTTTGCAGTTCAGTTACTGATTTAAAAAGTTTATAAGTTCTATTCACACAAAACCCCTGCTAAATAGGCTATGGTAGAATTTTTTGTTTTCTTGTACGAGCACAAATTATTCTGGAGTTTCTTCTTGTTCTACCTGAAGATATGCGAGGAAAACGTTGTGAGTAAAGAGGATGTCTGGTATCAGACAAGATAACTTCAGTCAACTGCTTGCAAGAGTTGAAGTGATTATCAATAACAATGTAAGTTATTTGAGTTAAAGGCACCTATGTATTGACCCAACCTACAGCTTCCAGTGTTCTTTTATGAGAAGTCCAGTGAAGAATAAGTGGGAGCAATGAAGAATAATGGGCAGAATACATGAATCATCTAAGTGTTCGAGAAGAGGTTTAGTTTATCCCGGAATGTCTCAATTTCTTTATATGTTAAATCAAACGAAACATTTTTCTTAAAAATCAACAGGAAATGAGATGACCAACAGAGGTATAAAGAGAAACTGATGCCGAGATAAGGGAATTTTAACCCCTATCACAGTGCCATCAATACTGCAGAAATCATGAGACTGAATCGGTCAATGCAAACCTTTTTCGCATACGTAACTGAAATCAATAATATGACATTTAGATGAATTCAGTTCAAGACCATTAAATGAGACTATTTGTCAACTTCAGATAAGAATCTATTCATATAAAAACAGTTCAGTGCAGAAACTACTGGGACAGAAGTGGTTAGATCATTAGCAAATTTATTGAACTTATCTTTGGAAGAATATAGAAAGGAATGGAGAGAGTACAGCCAGCGCCTTAAAGCAAACCAGTTTCCGTTAACGGCGGAGTGGAGTGCTTTTCATATACCAAAAGCAGTATGTTGTTTTCTACCCGGAACATAAGAAAGAAGCCTTGCTGTGACCCAGGACTCAGTGAGTGCTGAAATCAGACTGCTTAGTGAAAGTCGGCAATGTCAGCCAGAATTAGATCACCACTCATTGAAGTGGCATTCATATGAGTAGCAGAAGCCAACGGATTAGAATGAGTGAAATTAATGAATAGGAGTGATAATTCGTTGAAATTATTATTATCATTATTCTTAAATGACTGATTTTATTAAAGTGAAGTATTAGGTATATGTTGGCGTATTGATTTCGAGCACACGTACTTCGACACTGTCTCACAGTCAACATACTGTCATTTGGTTGATCGTGACTAACAGTGGAATCATGAACGTGCGTTTCATTTAATTCCATTCTCACAATAGAATCTAGATCTTATCAGGCTGATCTCTTATTCACTTAACTTAACGCTCTGGGTTAGGATCTCTGAGGACACATCATCACTCACTGGAGGTGCTGATACACCTAGATGACGATTTTCAAACACACGGCGAAATGCTTATCGTGGATTCCACCGCTATTTACTGTCCACCATGAAAGATAACTTCTGTTTTAATTAATGATAGAATTTAATTGGTGGATGGTGACCAGCAGTGGAATCCAAGATGCGTATTTCGTCCTATTTGGGACTCGTCAGATGGATGTACTTGCACAAAAAGTAGCTCTCGTCCTCCAAGTGGTCTGGTGGATAACGCTTTGGCGTTTGAGACTATAAGCAGAGAGTTCGAGCCTCAGTGGGAACGGCAGCACTCACTGGGACTGCAGGTGTATCTGGCTGATGAGTCCCAAACAAGACGAAATGTGTATCCTGGATTCCATTGCTAGTCACCATCCACCAATTAACCTCTAATTACATGCCCAGACGTCGTCGAAGCATCTGCACAAGAAGCCAACATGTCAACCTGAGACCGAGCACTTCTCTCTAATCAATCGATGTGAAAATCTGAAATTCAGTTAAGTTAATCAATGGTAGTTAAAAAAATAAAATGAAATTTCCAATCTTCTGGATAACTTTAGGTGAAGAGGTCAGGATATTTAGCCAGCTCTGTACCAAGTAACCAGCTGAGATCGGAATACAGTTTTATTTCCAGTTCAGTGAATAGAGCTGTACGCTGGGATACTGAATAAACTTACCCGAGTCATGATGATAACGAATTTTTACTCCACTTTCAGTCATCATCATCAACCCCATCCAAATCAGTCTGGTAATCTGAGGCTACTTAAAATGAAAATAAACTGTGAATGCGATTTGTTTTTATTATCGATTATGAATAAATCATATCACAACACTCGAAAAACATGAAATTCATTAGCCGACGGATTACATGACAGTGGCTGAATATTAACGTACTAACCTCGCCATGTGAATGTCTTAAGTTCGACTTCCAGATTTGGTTATGAATTCCTATTGCTAAAGAAACAGTCCGAAACTAAGAAGAAACAGCTATCTTAGACGTTCGCTCCGTTTTCAAAGAGCGAAAACGTTTTATTTATACATGCCACAAAACAAATTCATTTTCTCAATAAAAATTACTTTTCAAGTATTGGAGGATTTCATCATGAGCTGACATCAGTTACAGAACCATTGGAAAACCAGGACCGGAGTATTGGATAACTGTTTCCTTCTAGTTTGAGACTATTGAGACCCGATTATGGTCCATGAATTCTAGCCTCTGCCAATTGACGAAGTTGGAATTCATGGGCTGGCCATTGGATCGGGTCCCAGTGGCTGAATGGTCTACGAGCTGGATCACCTTGTAACCAGCAGGTCCTGGGTTCGAATTCTGGGGGTGGATGCGTACTGGTGGAGGGTCCTAAACTGGTTTTCCAATGCTTCCTTAACTAATGTCAGCTCATGATGAAATCCTCCAACCAACCAGAAAAGTACTTTATAAAGCTACAATTAATGTTATGTCAACGCAGTTACATGCAGAGTTAACAAGGAATCAATAAGGATGCCATTATTAATTTCATTGTGTAGATTTCGTCATAGATGAACACCAGTTATATAGGTCACTGAAAACTAGTGATTCACTGGACAGCTGTTTTTTCCCATTTCGTCACCCTTCAGCATTACCCATCGACGACCCGCCAAGGGATCAAACCCGGAGCCGACATGTTACGATGACAAACTCATAGACTATTCATCCAATTAAGTTCTGCTTTAAGTGTAACATTTGAATAAACAGACTTTCAAGTGTCGGTTTATGCAGGGATTTGACTGGATACACGTTTTATCACTAGTTGACATCAGTTACATCAGTTACCACTGGAAATCCCATTGTTTCGTCCTAGTTTGAGATTCATCGACAGCATACACCCACCACCAGGATCTGAGCCTAGAACCTTCCGAGTGCAAGTTGAGCTCATTGACCTTATATCCACTGGGACCCGTGGCTAAATAGTCTATTAGCTGGCTTTACAGCCGGATGGTTCTGGGCTTGAACCCTAGTGGTGTTTGCACAGAATGTCGAAGACTCCCATAATAGTCTTATATAAAATTAAATAGATTATACATGCATGTATGTATTCACATTGTAAAATTAAGTTCTGGGGAAGAAAACGGATTTTATTTCTATGCAAAATCTTATTGGCATAAGTAGGGAAAAATATATTCTTTCATGTCTGTATATCCATAATTTCATTTTTGAATCAAAAATGATCATTATTATTAATAATAATTAATAAATGACTGTCAGCCAATATTGTTGTAGATATTGGTGATATTTGTTGATTACCTTTGTGTGGAAAAAGTAGTGAAGCGATTGCTGTTTTATCACCAGAGTTTACATGTGGTACGCACTCACCCATACGTCTTCAGAGATTCCTCATCCATGTTACTTACACATTAGCGTCAGCTACTGAAAGGGATCAAAGCAAAAGCTAAAATGCATACACACACTTACACACACACACACACCTATTGTTGAATGTATTAGTAGGACGAATCCTACACATGGCAGAATACAAGAGAGAGAGAGAGGCAGAGTAGGAGGGGAGTGTGTGTTTGTGTGTGTGTGTGTGTGTGAGTATGTGGGAGGGATGCAATGCAGTGAACCCAACTGGTCAAAATTCTGCTAGAACTGTAGTTCTTGCTTTGTTCAAATTCATTAAGGGGAATAAATGTATCAAAAATATAACAACAAATAAATAACAACAAACTTACAGAAAGACCCACGCACGCCTCCGCACCCCCATACAGACAAACATACACACACGTACACAAGAGCATCTATCCACAGGAAATTCGGAGACAATAATGATTCGTTTAAAGGGCTAGTATATATTTGTGAATAAATTCCACTAAGTTGCTGAGTCGGCTTTTATTATGATCGGTTGACACACTATAAATTAAGTCGTCATAGACATCTATATCTATATAAAAGCTTCATTTTATACTCTAAACCATGAGTTGTCAGCTTAACATGAAATCCTGTAGTTCACTTGCTCTAGAACAGTATTTCTCCTTTTTATGCCTCATCCTATTCAAGAATTTAACACTCTTCTTAATTAAATGTTTTCATCCATGGCGAATACACGGTGTATACAACCTTAAATTCAATTTTATGTCTTTTCTACTTATACTACTAACTATAACACAGTATGAATTTGAATTTTCAAAACTTTTCAATCCAGTTGATGCTTCATTAACTTCACGTGAATATTTTAAACGATCAGAGAGATTTTATGGACAATTATCAAGAAATAATCATCAATTAACGAAAGCTCTGGATAATGATAATTCGAATAAATGGTCTGAACAAAGCGAAGGTGAACTATTTAAATCAGATATGCTGGGTGAGAGTAAAGAAAATGATGCCGCCGATATTAAAAGTAACAATAATCGTCATAATTATAATTATGATATAAATCAAATTACTCAAAATAAAGAATACTACCGCTAATGATTGAAAAGTATAAGAAGAAAATATTACGACTGTTAAATTTGAAATCAGTACCAAATGTGAATGTTAACAATCAGTCAGAGTGGAATTCCCTACCAGGCGTATTACGTAAACGTTTGAAGGCAGAAATTGATGCATCTAACCAGTTGACAAATCAGTTGAAGAGTAATGAGGATGAAGAAAAAGAGACATTGATATTATTAACTCAATGTATGTATGTCAGTTTCATATGTTTGTTAAAGTTTCATTTATTTTTGTCTTGAGGAGTGGTGTGGTTACGTGTTACTCTACGTTTTATCCCCAATTGATTGTATTGAAGTGAAATAATCTGTCTCTGATGTATTCTATGGTCCGAGTGTACGGACACTTCGACTAAGAATTAAGGCGAAGTTATTCTGTTTGATGGTGGCTAACAATTGGGATCTAGTATGCACATCTCGTCACATTCGGGTCTCGTCACCTGCGTGTACCTACCTGCATTCTTAGGCGAACGACTACAACCCTGAAGTCATCTTTCTAAACGCTTAAAACTTCTATCCACTAGGTTATGAGGGCCATGACAGCCACGTCTTGTGTGCAACGGGTATCAGTCTTAGGTTTCCCTGATATTCGACTGCCTGACACGTCTTGAAGTGTATAGGTTGAAAACATTCGCAGAAACTGAAATTTATAATCCGCTGAATATCGTCTCAATGATGATTGAATGATCAATAGACTGACTGCCTAAATTGAAGGTTTTTCATCTGATCCGTGATAGGGTCATCATTGTGTACTTTTAAATAGTCTGAAAGCGGTAGGAAACAATTGTCAAGTAGTAACTGCTTTCCAGTTGCTCGCCCTCTTTCTCCCCGAATGATACTGGCTGTTGTTCATCTAAGCTAAAAGCTTTTGTGGGGATTTTTTATAACTAACAGAAGTTGGAATTCATGGAATGACTGTTGATTCGCATCCCAGTGGCTGGGTAATAGTTAACGAGCTTGTCTTTTACCCGCAATGTTCTTGGCTGGAACTTTGGTGGGGGAGGGCGTATTGCCGATGAGTCCCAAATTGTGACGAAACTGCTAGTTGTCCAGTACTCCACTGCTGGTTTTCCAATGACTCTTTAACTGATATCACTCAGTGGTCAAACGTGAAACAAATCAAACAAAGTGAAAATTGTTCAGCAGAGTAAGGTCATACCTTCCATCTTCAATCTTATTTTCATCTCTTCTTTATGATTAATTTTTATGTATGTGTGCATGTAATCTAATAAACAGGCTATTTACATTTATATTAATGTCGATTAGAACATGAATAAAAGATTTCCTCATCAAAAGAAATTGTGTGTAGCGACTTTACACTTAGTCATCCAGGTACACAGTCTTCTATAGTTGCTCCTGTAGTTCCACCTGATGAGATGCAAGCGAAGAGGTGTGTGGTATAGAAAAGATTTTCAGAGTTCAGCAGGACAATATTCGTTAAATGTTTTGCATCAGTCCACGTGCCCATCTGTCTACAGTACTAACGATTCGGTTTAGGGACACCCTACCTGGCCTAATGACAGACTAAAGTGCCCTCCACAATGTAACAAAGTCTTTGTTAATTAGCCCAGGAAAGATTAAAGACGGAAAGGTAATAAGGAAGAATAGGTAGAATATATGGATTAATAGACTGTAAAAGCAGAGACTGAGTGCTACCAGAATGTCTTGACCCCCTCAATTAGAACTTTAAAAGGAATATCTTTCTAAAAACGAACAAGACATTGGAAGACCAAGAAAGATCAGAAGAAATACAAAGTTCAAAGTATCTAACGTTCGATTCAGTTTCAATCCCTGTGTCATCAATGATAAGGGAGCCACGAGAACTAACACTTTTATATAAGTCGCCCTAGTGTCTGAAAGTGAAATTAACAACCCACCATTTGGGGGGATTAAGCTTAAGATCATTTGACGAGGACTACGAACTAATTTCCGGTCAAAAGTTATGTATTTTGGACGAGTCTGACCGAGAAGTAGTAACAGGCATAGAAACAGTCAGATCATCAGTATACCTAATAAAATTGGCTTCATCACAAAGAAGCCAGTTATGTAATAAGAAAGAAAACAGAAAAGCAGCAGAGACAGCTCCTTGAGGAACACCAACTAGAATAAGTGAAGCAGTAGAGGATTTCACATTGCAAACAGTCTACCGCTTACTTTCAGAAAAACAGGAATGCAACCATTCATTATTCCAGCACCTTGTTTGTGTCTCAGCAAGCTTGTTTAACAAAAGAGGCTTAGGTAACGAGTCAAAGGCAGATTTTTGATGTGGGAAGACACACCGGACATTATTGACATCTCTGTTCACGTGAGAGACAATATTTTGATATATGACAATAACGGTATCTAAAGTACACCTACTATATTTATAAGCAAGTTGTTAGGGTCATCAAAAGCTTTCATTGGAGGTTCAAGGTCAGGTAAAACAGTTTCTTCATTATTTTAAAAAAGTGAAGTGATGGCGATGTGTTTAGACTTAACACTTGGACCACCTGATGATTTACACACGGGAACAGTTTTAACGTCCTTCCAAGTAGTAGGCGCAATGCTAGTGCAAAAGGGGTTCATTGAAAATACCAGCGAGAGGATAACATAAAATATCAGTACAAATTTTTTGAAGATAATAACTGGCACACCATCTGGACAAAGGAAGTGAGTAGGTTTCAAGGATTTGAGATACTTCAGGACATAGTCAGTATTAAAACCAGAGGAGAAGTCATTATTTTTGCTTGTAGCATTCGAAATCATAACATCTTCTGGACGACATACGAAAGACTTACTAAGCGTACCAGCATCGGATGGAGAGGGATCATTATTGATTTGCTAATTACCACCAGTCATTTCCTTAAACAGTTTCCATATATTTGATGAGGTTCTGCATTTGGTTATAGATCATATTTAATCTCTGTATTTTTGATTTAATTAAAATGTTCAGTCTTCTAACACTAGAATTTTCTTTCATTTTGTATAACCTTTCTTTTTCTTGGCGAAACCTTTTGAGCTGGGAAGAGGAGAAGCGGTGATATCTTGAAAAGAATGCTTCTTTTGAACAACAAACATCAAGAGAGAATTTTAGATAGTACGTCATGTTTGTGATTGTGTCATCTAGAACTTATTCGGTGAATATGTCTCAGTTTGTTTCTTTTAGCATACTTCTTTGATTCTGTATGTTATGTTTCCTCGACAAGGTTCAAGAAAGCTCTTTTGTGCAGTTTTCCATATAATTTGGTCAATAATAATATGATACAATGATCCGAATCAAGTAGTGGGGCTCTTCGCCGAGCTTCAAATATGCCGAAGTCATTTGTGAACGCTAGATCAAGAGTATTTTCTTGTCATGTTGGGAAGCTGATAGCATTTTCATCATCAATGGTGTAGAGAAGCTTTAGTCACAGGGAGTGATATCTCCAGTAACTACTGAAAAAGAGTTTCCAAGGAAAGTAGCAGTAAAGGAATTGAATTCATCTGCAGATAAGGGCAGTTTCCACAGATTGCATCTAGGAGCCATATAAATGTTAGAAATTTACATGGAGTTGCATTCGAATATGTGTCACTTCAGAGTCTCAAAAATACAGTACACTCCTGCGAATTGATGAAGATTGAAGCGCTACCGGGGCATTTCTTCTTAGAGGATCACAGATCTTGTCTCAGTTACATGGACACTATTCAAGTATACAAATTGTTTTGAAAGTACCCACTTGTGTCCAATCATAATGCTGCACTGAATCGAACACGGAGCTATTGACACTTTCTTTCAGAAACTTCATTCTCTGATTATTATTCAGCGCGATAAACGATTGATGAGATTCTGGTGTTACTGATTTTCAGCATATCGTTTATAAGTTAGATGAATATTAACATCTAAGAGATCTTTCAAGTGGATACCTTCTACCATTTTCTATCATATTTGAGGTTAATTCAAGATAACATCGTCAAATTACCTGTCATGAAAATCTCAAATGAATCCTATTCATTCTTCGTCATAGCTGGCCCACCCAGGTATCTATCACATAACCTCAAAGTAGTATACACAATGATTACAGCCGAAAATCTGTAAAGAAACCTTTTATCATTTGGTTAAACCACATAACAAATCAGTTAGCTGTCAATAAAATGAGTTCCATTAACTTGAAGTAATTTGATGAATGATGACTTACAGTGGAATCCAGCAAGGATACACATTTCGCCTTATTTATTTGGGAAACGTCATCTGGAGTTACCTGCATTCTCCATTTACGAATTGATCACGGCTTTATATCAGCTAGAGAACCATTGAAAACCAGCACTGGAGTACTGGACAGCTGCTGTTTCATCCTAGCTTGAGAATCATCTGCAGTACGCACCCACCTTAGTGGGGTTCTAACCCAGGACCTTCCGGTCACAAGGCAAGTTGGCTCGTATACCATTCAGCCACTGGGGCCCGATTCAATGGCCAGCCCATGAATTCTAACTTCTGCCAATTCGTGATTTAGCGCGACCCCAAACATTGTCGTCGGTGGGATATCCATCCTCACACGTGACATCTGAATGGACCTCACTGGTCACGACTTCTCACTATAACTGACTCCAGCCTGTAGCAAGTCAGTCACTAGCGAACATCAGATTAATTTTCTATAGTTTGGTTTGTAAGGGTTAGATTTGTTTTTACGCATTGATCACGGCTTGATATCAGCTAGAGAACCATTGAATACCAGCCAGGGAGTACTGTACAGCTGTTTCATTAAATAAAGGTGCTTAATATACAATCATCTGCTATCTATTGTTTAATTATTCTGTTACTACAGTTAATTGTAAAAATGACTGTAGGCCTTTCCTTTATGTTGCTTATTAGAAAGTGAAAGTGCATTGTCATTATTCTGTTCTATTGAATAACAATAAAACACTGCAAATCATGTGCTATCAAAGAGATAGTTAATAAAAGGAGGAAATATTTTCTGTCCATATTCAAAAGAAGAATATTGGAATGCATTATGCATAGAATGACACCTACATATACACCTGGATAATTGCTTACATTTGTCACTAGAAAATATTGTAGACAGTGTGAAGATGAGAAGCATTCAATAGCCAAAAACAAAAATACTCTTCATGGATAGACACATGTCATTTTATCCTTTGCACACAAAGACAAGAGCAGTAAAGAAGATAATATCATGATTATTATTATAAGGATATCTCTACTTTTTGATGTAATTTGGAGGTGGTAACGCATAACTAAGCTTTAAAAATAGGAATTCAGGTGAATCTAGGGTAAACAGAGGTGATTGATATTCCTGGCCAACAGCAACAACAACAGGCAAGAATCAGCCAGTATAAATGTGAGAAATCTGTAAGAAGCAACCTCCTTTACCTACCTACCTACCTACCTACCTACCTACCTATCTGGGAAGCATCGTTTCAACTACTGTCAGATGGAACTGATAAGCATATCAAAGTGAGGATCGGGAAGGCAAAGCAAGCTTTCATTACTTTCAAATATTTGGGTAGATCAACAGCACACAGCGTGAAAAATAAGATACGGATTTTCAACTCCAATGTGAAGTCAGTGCTACTCACTATCCGGACCAGAAACTTGGCCAACGCGTCCCGAAAGGCACTTGGAACAAACTACAGACCTTCATCAACAGCTGTCTTCGCTCAATACTCAAGATCAGATGGCTGGCCAGAAAAGATCAACAACAGGGATCTTTCAGAGCGAACCAACCAGGAACCCATTGTGCAACAAATCTACAAGAAGAAATGAAGGCGGATTCGCCATACTCTGAGGAGACCATCAAGTGACATCACTAGATAGGTCATCGTTCGAGTGGAACTCGAAGAGGAAGCTGCGAGTTGGTCGTCAGTGCGAGGGAGACATGGAGGAGGAGATCATGCGGAGAGGAGATGAAAGCATATGGGCAGAAGTGGAGCCAGGTGAAAACGTCGTCAGAGAAACGAATGCAATGGAGACGTGCGTCTTAAGCCCTATGTTCCACTAGGAATTAAAGGAAACAATAATAATGAAGCATAACTAGAAATTAAAAAAAATAGTTGTAGTAGTCATAAAGGAATGTTACTGAAGGTCATCTTTCATCAATGTAACTTTTTTTCCCACTCAGCGATTCACAGAAATCCTGTCTGACTTTGATTTAAAATAGAAATCCTAGTAAAAGAAACTTACTACTAATAGAATGATTGTTTAAAATGAACTGAAATCACTAAATTAGGAAAAATACTAATGAGAAGACAAGATACTTGTTAGCTGAATGATTATCAGTATTTTTATATACACATATAGGGAAATTATGCGTACCATGTATTAAAATCGCCATATGCACAGATCTTCAGTGTTGCGCTACTTTCATCCTTTCGTTTTCTGTTTCGTTGTCTTCTTTTCGTGTCTCCTGTGTCTTACTGCAATACGGGTTCATCTTTTCTCTTGGGTATCAAATTTTATTTCTCTGCTATTCGATATTTGTGTGCCGATGAAGAAATCTGTATATACTACTGGTAAATCTTGTCAGTAGTACATGCCACACTAATATATAGTTTTGAAAGTTACGCTTTATATCTTGTCTCTTATAAATGACTTCGTGTCTTAAAATATTTGATAAACGATACTGAAAATAAGTGAGCATTGTTATCTAAGCCTGTAGTTAGATGAAAATTATTATGAGTACACAGACTACATCTCATTGACAATAACAACCAATAAATGTATTCAATACACCGAAAACACACATTGCGTAATGAGGAAAATAAAAGAGATTTCTGTGAAGAAAATTTCCTTTATCAACTAAATCACCTCCACCTCTACATGGTGAGACCGAATGGTTCAAAGGGTTTTAGATTTTGACGTTTATGTATGATCGTTCTTTGTAAGTTTTTAGTTTAAATAATTAATTCACTATTATCACTCTCTCATGTTCCTTTTGTACAATTTATCACCCTTTTCACACTTTTTAAACTGACACTTAACTACGCTTCTTCTCAATGAACAACGATTTTAACCTTATCAAATTTATAACCCTTTGTTCCTTTGTGCCGTTAACTTCTACGAAATTTTTAAAATTTTACTTTTGAAGCCACCACCGAGTAATTATATCACTTATGTCACATAACTTCTGTTACTTAGTAGTGGACTACTATACATTTTTTGGTAAATATAAATACGACTGTACAGCTCCTGAAGGTGACTATGTCGATAGAAAAGATGCATTCAAATCTGCCATACATTTTTTGGTATTTTTAAATACGACTGTACAGCATCTGAAGATAACTGTGTCTATAGAGAAGGTGTATTCAAGGCGAAGATATATCCAGAAAGAGTAGGTGATTCATACAGTAAAATCCAAATGATCTTTTTGTTCTCGTAGTGTCATATTTTCTCGTCTGAATGATAACACATGAATAAACGATACCAGTTCCTTTCAACCCTCTTTTTTCTTAAAATAAAACGTTATTTACCATCTTTAGACCACTTTCAACCTGCAAACTGACGTCTAACCACAGCAAGGATCTTTAATGTTTTGTATTGACTACTTGAAGTGGAATTTTAGTCGTTTATGCCTACAATTTAATTGTAAGCACACAGGGGAAGCTTGCTTAAAACTTGGGCTACCAAAATCTTCCTTTTTTTCTCTATTGTACATATTTTCTCTTGTTCAGTTTGCTTTAATCGATTAAGATATGACCTCTAATGGTATTATCTAATCTTGTGTGTTAAAGAGCTCCTGATCTGCAAGTTTCTTGATGAAATTTGAGGGAAGGCATGATTGTGGTTAGCAGCTTAATTCAATGCATGGGAGAATTCGGCTTCAATTAAGTCCTTGGGTCTGATAAATGTACTTCTGAACATCACACAGTCGCCTTTCAACTTGATGTCATGAAGATTTCTTCGAGGAGACAAAGTAGGTATATCATAATGGAATGGTTTGTGCTCCAGAGCTCAGAGACCATTGTTTCACAGGAAGGATATGCTGTCAATTAATATTTTTCTTCTAGATATTATCCGAAGGGTGAACATCATGCAATAAACTCTACTGAAAATTCTTTACATTTTATAAACACTGTCCAGAATAAAGATGTTATTATTAGAAAGTATATTTATACAAAGTATTCCCCCAAAATATATCACAAAAGTTATATTAAAGAGATTGGAGTACAGTGATTTATCTGTGGATACATTCATTGATCCGTTCTCTGTTTTTTTACTGTCTCGCTGCGATAAATTGTCAGTATTAAGTGACGAATTCGAAGGATTTCAACAAAGTGGAATGAATTTACTTGCTGAAGTTATCTTGAATTTTGAAGTATTGGTTTTGTAGGGATTGTGTTTGATTGGTTGGAGGATTTCGTCATCAGCTGACATGAGTTAGGGAACCATTGGAAAACCTAGGAGCACACTGAACAGCTGTTTCGTCCTAATTTGGGACGGATGAAGAGTGCCCTGTTTTTAGTCTCATTGGGGACACCAGCAGTCACTCGAGATACAAGTAAATCAAAATGAAGAGTCCGGAGTAGGATTAAATCCCACTGCTCACCACCGTCAATCAAATGATAGAAAAATAAGCCGTTACCAATTCAAAAACACTTGGCTTATCCGGGTTACCATTTATTACATTATGAGTTCGATTTCATAGTAAAATACAAAAAAGTAAAACTCGACTTTATTAATGCCTAATAACTACTGCCTACAATTGAATTGACTGCATACTGATATGCTAAATTATGCAAAAAAGACCTGCCCTATCCTTCTCCCTAAAAGATGAATAAGCCAAATATAATTATATTCAAATAATACATAGAAAAAAAGGAGAGAAACTGCAACCAACAGGATCAACGAAGTTACTTAAAAGAACAATAACTCACGTAGGACACCAGCTAGTTGCAAATTATATATATATATATATATATATATATATATATATATATATATAATTGGTAGAAGTTTGAATTCATGAGCTTTTCAACAGCTGATTTCTAGGGATTTGATTTGTTTTTCGACTTTGATCATGGCCTGATACCAGATAAGAACCACTGAAAACCAGGAGTACTGGATAGTCGTTTCATTCTAGTTTGAGTATCATCGGTAGTACGTCGATGACATCGCCTGGTGGTGGCGCTAAAATCAAGGATTGGTATAAAGTGAGAATCTTTGGGTTGGCCATTGAATTGGGTCCTGGTGGCTTATTGGTATACAAGCTTGCCTTATAACTGGAAAGTCGTGTGTTCGAACCCCAGTGAGTGAGTACTACCAATGATTCTCAACTTAGTATGAAACAGATGTCAAGTACTCCAGTGTGGGTTTCCAATAGTTCCCTAACTGCTATCAAACCGCTGTCAAAACCGAAAAACATTTCATGAGCTGTTGGATCAGATCCCAGTGGCTCAACCTTATACGAATCCCGGTGAGTGCATACTACTGAAGAGTACCAATCTAGGACGGAACGATTGTTCAGGGATCCCCTAATTGTTATCAGCTCGTGATCGAACTGTTAAAAAGTTTATTCGTTGATTTTAGTGAACTTTAATTTTTTACCGGAATCGAATTTACTTTTCCCATTATTTGGTTGTTTTTTGCACTCTCTCCGCAGACAAATTGCCAGTGAAATTACCAAATCCAAATATTTTTACTTTAAAAGTGGCTGAAGAGATCGATCCCATGCACATCAGCAGAGTTACTCTACACATTGAGGTGAGCTATACTAATCCTTTGATGTTAGATTAATATTCATTTTATGCATGTATGGTTCTTACTTATTTTTATGCACTTTATACTTTGATCTGGTCTAGGCTTCTATGCCTGCTGCCATTTATCCGTAAGATTTTTATACAGTCGATACGGTATCCATCTTCTCATCAAAGAATATGCTTTCTGTCCGTCAGTTTTTATGCTGTTCTGTTTTATATTTGTGGGACATTGTCGTTAACAGGCGAAGATATTTAAAAGAAAATAGTTGTTTTTAGCCACCGGTGCTAACTTTGTGTCTGTCACGTTACTTCAAGCGATAGCGTTAGAATTAATGAGTTTAGACGTGTACTGTTAGGTAATGAGGGAAAGACATTCAATGAGGTTACGAAGCTGGATCGACTGAGATGGCGAAGACATATGATAAGTAGAATTATCCTAGAGAATAACCGGAGTCGATTTGACAATGGTATGCCATAAGTTCGTGAAGTCGTTAACTCTTGGTTTGAGCCACGTGATGAATGACAAAATGTCTAGTTGGCATCCTCAGAATATTGAGAATCAACTAATGAAGTATATCAAAGATGATCTTGGCGTCACAGGTGCATTTACTTCATGAAGTGTTTCTTTTCTTCTTCTTTCCTTCACGTTCCAAGTAGAACATAGGGCCTCATGCTAGTGGCTTGAAGTTTCTGTAGCAGTGTTTAATTTTACAGGATGGGGTTGCTAGCCTCGTGACCAACCTTTCTTCTTTACCAGTCTTATTACTGGGTTAGCGAGGTTAAGGAGTGTGTCGTCGGCTGAGGATCGAACCCCGAACTATGTGCATGGTCGGTGAGTGCCTTAACCGCTGTGCCACCGATGCACTTGGAGGCCTCACCGAGACCTTCAAGTGCTTCAGATACTCGAAATTCTCACTCACCTTTATGCAACTAATCTTTTCTCTCGTACACTTTCCTTCACTACGATTTCACTGTATATTTTTAGCTACTTTTATTATTGGCATTTTGTAATGTGGTACCTTTGTGTAAAGCTGACAATTCGTTCAGTCAATTAGGTAACAAAACTTGAATTATTCTTATTTGAAATAAATTCAAGTTACAAACAATTTTCTATGGGATAGCTGGTTAAGACGAACCAACTCTCTCATGATATTCGTGTATATATGCGATTGTGAGTGGTGGTGTAACGGTAGAGGAAAAGAGACTTGTTGAAGGAATGTTTATTTGGAATTCGGTATCTCTATATAACGAAAATACATATACACCTTATCTTTAGATCACCACATGCACAGATCTTCCGTGTTGTGCTAACTCTCGCCTTCCTTCATTTGTGTTCCTCTGTGTTTCTTTCATGTCTCCCATGTCTCTCCACAACACTGAACGACTCCCTTAGTCTGACATCAAATCTACCCCCTACCCGTGTTATTTGATGTTTTTGTATGAATGGACATATATATATATATTACTGATAAATCTCGTTAGTACTGTAACAACAGAAGACAAGGGCTGGCAACAGATCGTTTTATTACGAAAATCAACACGTATTTATATAAATTTCACATACATTATTATACTTTCTAAAGTTTGGTTTGTAACGATTAGTTATGTTTTACGGGTTGATCACGGATTGATATCAGTTAGAGAACCATTGAAAACCAGGGAGTACTGGACAGCTGCTGTTTCATCCTAGTTTGGGAATCATCGGCAGTACGCACCCACTGGGATTCGAACCCGGGACCTTCCGGTTATAAGGCAAGCTTACCTTGGCAATTGCAGAACCAAAGAAAAAGTGCCTAGAAATAATCAGGGGGACTTTGTAAACTCTCATGTCTCACAATACATAAGTGCTTCTTTTATGCAGCTTATTATTACAACATTTGAAGAAGATATATCTATGCTGGGTGTTGTCAGTAGTCTTAATCAACCAGGAAGTGTTCGGAAAACTAAACTTCCATAGCGATCTGGAAATATTTTACCATAATTTTAAAAGTACTGCTTGCATATTAGCCATATTCTCCAAAAATGGATTTCTTACAAGATGGTAAATGTATACCACTGAAAATTGTCAAGCGAGAATGAAATAGCTGTCCAGTACTGAGCAGTTTTCAGTGGTTTAGCAAAAGATGTCTCCTTCAGTATCATAAAGTCTAGATCGATATCGGTTACATTTCCATAAACCACCTACCACCTAAAATTGATTATTTTTATGGTTGAAACTATTATTGTAGGCCATCATATTAGGCATTAGAAGTTTGGTGTTCTGTCAAGCTTACCATCAGAATATGGAACAGTTAAGCAATGAAAATAGTTCTCTTCTTTATTTTTTTATTAAATAATGTCAAAAATGTTTTTAATTCTTTCCTTAACGGTACATTTTTGACAGTCTGCTACTTCTAACGGTTACTCTTTCATTTTCTCTTCAGATTGGATGTAGTTTCATGAGGAAAAAATATATATTCTCTCGAAGAAAAGACTCATATATTCTTACACCATTACTGTTTCCCGGAGTTCCATGAGGAGAATGCAGCTTCAACAGAACACCCATCTCCTTCACATTGTCCTATTCCCTGTGGTCTTATTTAGATTACCCCTTGGATAACCCATAGTCTTTCACCTATACCTCACATGACCTCCTCAATGCCACACTCTGTCCATGCTGAACTCGTTGTTCTTGATTCAGGTCCCACTGGAGTGATGACTTGGCACACGACGCCATTCGACGGTCTCCTTACTGTGTTTTTGATCCACCCTAATTTTCTTCGGAATATTTTTTTGCGAAATAAGTTCTTGGTTGCTTTGCTGCACTGCAGATTTTATTGGCGTTAATTCTTTCCTACCAGCTAAATAATATTCACTATGGAAACAGTGCAGGCATCTGTTGATAACAGTGTGTGCAGCCTTTTGGATGGGATTTACGTGACTCACTGGCCAAGTTTTTGACCTACAAAGAAGAATTGACTGACGTATCATATGTGTTGAAAATTAAATTCTAATTCTTTATTGCTAAGTACAGAAGATTTCCGAAGTGATTTCAGAGTGTTGAATAACACTTTCTTGCCTTTCCGGTTGTGGTTTTGACAATCTCATTCGTGTGGCTTTCCCTCAGATTTTACAAGTATAAACCATATATGCTTTATTTTAGTAAATTAGTAAACCTCTTTAGACATCAAGGAAACTAATCACATTGGTAGATCTAGTTAAACAAATTGGACGCATCGTATACATTTAACAATGTTGCTTCAAGTACAAATTTTCTGTTTATAGTTTACCTATAATTAATTTTATACATTTGGTTCCCTTGATAAATTTTGATAGAGAAAGAAAGACCAGATTTGCAGTATAAAATGATATCAATCTATTTCACAGGTTCTCATCAGCTGCAAACTACCTGAAATTACAATGGTTATAAATAATAACATTTCATACTTCATTGTTTGAAGGGTAATAGAGAAAACATTATAAGGTGAACGCATCTGGAATATAAGTATTATAATCTAAGTCAATCATCATCAATTTATATACTATCAAACTATGAAAGAAGAAAAAATGGGGGGGGTGAGAGAAGACAGAAAACAGAAAAATCTAATAAACAGTGTCAACATGGCAACTCAACAAGGTCAAAGTTCATCAATTTGAAAACTTGCTTGGTGAGTTGAGCTCACTAGTGTGTATGACTAATCAGTGTAATGAAAGTGATATGGTTACCAAGGGAGTGAGAGATTGACTACACTCTCTTTCTCTATGCATAAGTTTGGTCTGTGTCCTTTGATTGCAATTGTTTCAGCAAATCGTAGTAGATTCGCTGTCCTTTGTATGTTTAATATTTTGAAGGATTTAGAAATCTCGACAAAATGACCCGTATCCACAAGGTGTCTGGTAATTGCACTTTGTAAATATCTGCTTCCTTTTAAACATAAGTTTCTTGGAATATGCTCTGAAGACTGGATAGAAGCCCTTCTTTCCGTCCTTCCAATGTACTTGCTGCCGCAGGTACACGTAAATATATAAATGCAGTTGGAGGTAACATCAGCAGGGTACTTATCCAGTTTCGATTGCCTTATGGAGCACGTAGTACTGTATAGTGTCACCAAACTGGCTGCAGCGAAGCATCTCTTTATTGCTCCCTTCATCTTCTTTTCAATCTTTTGCGATACGGTTTCTCCTTTGTATGGGAGGCAAATGAACACTTTCTTCTTCTCAACTGTTGGAGATTTCTCTTTCTCATCTCTTTCTTTGCTGTACTTTAGGATAAATCCTTTTGGATACCCGTTTTCTCTAAGGCATTTTTCGGCAAAGCTTAATTCTTCTTCTACTTTGTTAGGCGAACATAACTTTCTGGCCCTGTCGTAAAGTGTTCTCACTAATCCCCGCTTGTAGCTCATAGGGCAGAAGCTGTTATAATGAAGGTATTGTCCGGTCCAAGTTTCTTTCCTGTAGATGGACTTTTCGACCGTTCCACCGTTTCTTCTTTTTACATTTAGGTCCAGGAAATTAAACTTATGCATACAGAAAGAAAGTGTAGTCAATCTCCCACTCCCTTGGTAACATATCACTTTCATTACACTGATTAGTCATACACACTAGTGAGCTCAGCTCACTAAGCAAGTTTTCAAATTGATGAACCTTGACCTTCTTGAGTTGCTATGTTGACACTGTTTATTAGATTTTTCTGTTTTCTGTCTTCTCTCACCCCCCCCCATTTTTTCTTCTTTCATAGTTTGATAGTATATAAATTGATGGTGATTGACTTAGATTATAATACTTATATTCCAGATGCGTTCACCTTATAATGTCTTCTCTATTACCTTTCAAACAATGAAGTATGAAATGTTATTATTTATAACCATTGTAATTTCAGGTAGTTTGCAGCTGACAAGAACCTGTGAAATAGAATGATGACATCATTTTATACTGCAAATCTGGTCTTTCTTTCTCTATGATAATTAATTTTATTCTAAATTAACAATAAAAAATAGTTCATGTAAAGTTATACGTAGGGTCAAT